ATCATCTGTCACCAGCAGTTCTGGAAGAACTGATGCTTCCCCTGGGTCTCGCTCCCAGGGCTCCCCGCCTCCCAAGGCATCTTGCGGTGGGCTCCTCCAGTAACCCAAGGTGGGTGAGCACATCAACAAGCACACAACATGTGGTCTCCAGCTACAGAAAACAAGTGGGTGTAGACAGTCACTGTCCCGTGTGGTGAAGGTGAGAAGAGCAGGCGTAGGCCAAGCTGCAACCCTCTGGCCTGAATGTGGTTGGAACTATGAGAACAGTTGTCACAGTCAGTACCTCTGACATGATGAAATGCACACGAGGTGATGGGGAGGGGAGACGAGGCGCAGAGTAGAATGACATGGAAAAGACAAACCAGAGCTAGACCAAAAGGCAAGGGCAGAATGCAGAAGAAAGAGTTCTGGATAGGGGTCTGAATCCTGCCTCCACCTGGGCAAGTCCCCTGAGCCTGCTGGGAGGCCTCAGCTTGTACCTCGGCATTGCTGCCTCCTACACATCTTCCAACAGCAATAATGGAGCTCCTACCCCAAGCAGGGCCCCATAGAAACAAGGAAGGGTGAAACAGCAGCTCACTGGCTTGGGTGGGAAATATTTACACTTGTAAACAGGAGCAGAGCAGGGACACAACTGGGGAGCAACTCCCAATTTGCAGATGGGGACGATTAAGGCTCATCAGGAGGAAATGACTTTGTCTCAGGCTTCTCTTAGGGCCCAGACTGGGATTCCTAGAGAATGGAGGGAATTTCCCTGCTTTGGACATTCTTTAAAAAGCAACCAGAAAGCCAGAGCTGCTCCCCACACAATCATGGGGGGAACTCCAGGTCTGAGCAAAACTTTGGAATCCGGATGAATGATGTTTCACTTTCCTTGCCTGCCTTTGGTTTCCAAATGTCATAGCATGAGGCTGGGCAGGTAGCCAGCTTAGCTTAGGGAAAAAGTGAACGAAAGAGGAAAAAGGAAGACAGGGCCAGGAGGGGAGGGGCTGAGCTAGGCTGGAGGGAGTGTATGTCTGACTTTATGGAGGAATGTGCTAGGAAAAGGGGTGCAGGAGGTATAAATGCTGATGAGAACCAGCCCTATAAACTCGAGACGTCCATCAATGAGCCTGCTGGGTCTCTGAACCCCTCATATGCAAAATTACATGTGTGTGCATCTGTGTAGGTCTCCACACATCTGTGGAAAGTGTTCACAGCTTTCATCAAATTCTTAAAGGGCTCCATTTCCCAAAACAGGTTGGAACCAATCTCTCACTTTGCAGATAAAGAAACTCAGGTCCAGAAAAAGTAAGCAACCTGCTCAAGGTCAGCATTAACAAGTAATCAAGCTGGGCTTTGAATCTAGGAGTCTGACTCTAGACAGCCCATGTACTTAATCAAGATGCTATAAGAGGTTACTAAGGCTAAACCAGCATTAATTTAGCATCTATCATGTCCAAGACATCTGTTAGAAAGCAGGGAGAGAATACAAAAAGCAAACAGAAAAGAAAAAGCATAGGACTCTGTCACCGTGTTCAGGGAGTTAAGACCAATGAAAAGATGACTCGCAATAAAAGCGTGTATTTGTTCTTGTTATTGTCTAGCTCCCTCCTCCCCTGACACAACAAGCGTAAGCTCCAGAGGGCAGGTCTTTGACTTGCTCACCGTGGTGTTCGCAGTGCTTAGAGCAGCACCTGGCTCTCAGCAATTCTCAGTAGCAGATTGCAGGGTGAATAAGGAAGATTGAGTGGTGTAGACCACGCACCCCAGTGGGACAGGGAGGGCAGAGCCGGCATATGATTTTGTGCCTCACCTTATAGTCTCCTAAGCATATCCACAGTCACTGATTTCCCAGATCCTCTCAACCACCGGTGGGGCAGTCAGACAGACAGGCGTTCCTAATTTTCAGGAACATAAAATTCTCAGTGAATCATAATGACAGTTGCTATTCACTGAACACCCACCCTGTACCAGGTACCACACTGTTTACTTTAAACAGGCTGTTTGATTTCCTCATGAAATCAGTGCTTTGGAGCCAGAGAATGTACTGATTTCATGAGTCTGAACCCTGATTTTGCACAGGAGAAAGTGAGTGGCAGAAATGGAATTACACTTGGGTTCTTCTCCTTATTCTGCCCCCCACAATCCACCGGAACCACCAAAAAGGAAGAAAAATACTCTCTTTTTGATCAAAAAACCACTTCTCCATTGCCTATCCCTGCTCAGCAACCCCACCATCCTACTACCATTTATGCACAGACATACACACACTTACACACTGTAGGCAACTTCATCAGAATTTAAGGATGAGGACCATGTTGGTCCATCTGTGGGTGCCCTCACCTCTGTCCTCAGCTGGTGTCCCGACTCAGCATATTTGGTATCCAGGAAAATACTTTCCTTGCTTCCTTAAAGAGGGAAACTGAGTTCAGGAAAAGGAAACAGAAACAGAGCTCACATGGAAAAACTGAGCCTTAGCAAAAGTTTGAGGATTTCTTTAGAACAACGCATTGTGCTGGAAAGTCTATGAGCCCAGACAGATTTGGGATTCAATTTTGAGTTCTACCACTTTAGGCTGTATGACCTTAAGCAAGTCACTTAACCTCTCCAAGCCTCAACTGACCCATCTGCTTAAAAATAAAGACTTTTTATAATAAAGGTCACTAATCCATATTACCTGGAGGTCTGGTCTAGATTGCTGAAAGCCTAAAGTATAGAATATCCTTAAAGGGACTGCCATTTTCTTACTCTTAATAATAACAGGATAATAATAGCCAATGTTATTAAGTAGTTAACATGTGTCAGGCATTATACTAAGCTTTACAAGCATGAGCACATTTATGGGGACTTAATTGTCTCAGCAGCTGTGGGAGGGGCTGTTATTATTACCCCTGATTTATGGGACCAGAGAGATTAAGTAATTTGCCTGAAGCCACCAGGCTAGTAAATGGGAGAAACACCGAAGCCCCTCCTCTTCACCACCGGGCTTCACAGTTTGGTAACTAAGGCGGCTATGTGAAGGAACAAATAAAACAGGCAAACATTTCGTGTGGATGGATGAATGTTTCTACAGTGCCTGCAATGGTTTCTTTAAATTAGATGGCCATGCTTTCTAAAATTGTGTTTCTATTGTTAATTGCTTAACGAGCCGTGAGGAGCGACTGAGAGGCTTCTTGTGATAAGCTTAGAACAGCACATGGCACCTAGAAAAGACGCAGTGACTATTAACTGCCTGACTGATGTGGGTCAGTGGAAAGAGCTTAAGCCTGGTCATCAGAAACACCTGGGTTCAAATCCCACTTATCAGCTGTGTGACCCTGAGGACCTTAATGACCTCTTCTGGGGCTCAATTTCCACTTCTGTAAATAGAGAATAATAACCACCGTGCCTCAAAGTCATTGTGAGGAAGAAACAAGACAAGGTGTTCCCATTCTGGGTGATTCAGTCACCCTCAGCCACTAAGTTACATATGCGGCAGTAGCCAGCAAGAAAACATTCTTGGTATAAGATCACGTATTTTTTTACATTACATTTTTTTGTTTGTTTACTTTTGTCACTGTCAATAGACACTTTTCTCTTAGATAATTCAGAACTCAACTTTAGCCCAGTCCAGGCCAAATTGTTACTAATTCTGAATTATCCAACTAGGAATTGATGAAGATTTACTGTATCCAATTCTCTGGAAGGGAGTAAGGACCCTGGCTCTAATCCAGACCACCACATGGGTCAGCTTCAAGGATGTCCCCAACCATGAAACTTTTCATGCTGAGCAGTACTTATGGACAGAGCACTAAAGTGGGAGTCAGGGCACCCGGGATCTGAGCCTGTCACTCATCTGTTGCATGTTCTTAGCGAGTCCCTTCCACTGTCTGGGCCTCAGGTTCCTCCTTTGCAACTGAAGATTGTGGAAAAAATGATCCTTAAAGTCCTCTGCAGCTTTCATATTCTGTAACTTCTGTGCCCAAGAAGATCCTAGAAATGAGATGGGATCCCAAGCATTTACTGAGTTTCCTCATCTATGAAATAGGAAAATGAGCATAATAATGGTAAATGAGTTGACACATGCAAAGCCCTTAGAGTAGTGGCTAGCACAGAGTAAGGCTTTGGTAAATGGCAGCTAATAATAGTAGTATGTGCATAAGAGATTTTCTCTCTCTCTCTCTCTCTCTCTCTCTCTCTCTCTCTCTCTCTCTGCTTCTCAACAAGCCTGTAGCCAATTATCCCACCTTATAAATAAGGACATAGAAGCTCAAAGACATTAAGCAATTTTCCCAATGAAGATTCAACAAGTAAATGGGGGTGACCCTGTGACCGTGATGAAAGCAAGAACCACCCCCCAGGACAAATCACTCTGACTCATATCTGGTGAAAAGGTCATTAATGTCCAGTTCAGATCCAGTGCCCCAATCATAGGGCGGGTACTCTCACCTCCTTTGGGGACTATATGTCAGAGGACGCTTCCTTTCTCAATAAAACACCTTATAAATAACATCCTTCCATGGATGAGAGGGAAGATACAGATCTGTAACGCATGAGCAAGAATTTTGAAAGCAACAACATGCCCAGTTGTTTCTGACCCTGTCCTAACTGCCCCTCCTCCTGTCCCCAGGGAAGCAGCTTCCTGACCTCTGCGGAGGACTGCTGCCCAGAGGATGAAGCTGAGGATGCCAACACGGGAAGAGGTTTTCCTCCACTGGTGCTCATGCTGGCTCTTCTTGAGGGCAAATGGGGAACTGAGGAACTCACTCTGGACCAGAGGGTGGTGAGGAGGAGAGAGAGATCAGAGGGTGGTGAGGAGGAGAGAGAGATCAGAGGGTGGTGAGGAGGAGAGAGAGAGAGAGAGAGACTCAAATTTCCAGAGGCTATTTCAGTTTTCTTTTCCGTTTGTGCAATTTCTCTTAAGCTATCAGCCAATGCGTGGCTGCTGTTTTGGAAACTCCCCTTGAGGGGGCGCCCCCTACTGGCCTGACTCCTTATAAAGGGGCAGCCTGAGCTGCAGACGGTCCCTGCAGAAGATCCTGAGACAGCGTGTGGAGCTCCCACAGCCTCTGCCCACAGGTACCATGAAGGTCTTCGCAGCTGCCCTGGCGGTCATCCTCGCCACTGCCACCTTCTGCACTCCTGCATCTGCCTCCCCATGTAAGTCCGGGTCTTGCACCACAGCCCCCGGAGTCAGACCCTCAGACTGGCCTAGACCTTGCCCTCTTGCTGACTGCAGCATTTCTGCTGTCTGAACCCTATGATTTACATTCTTATGTACTGCTTTACCCCAGTGTCAGTTGTCCCTCATAGATCTCTAAGCCACCTCACGGCAGGAACCCTCTGATGGACTTTTCTGTGTCTTCAAGGTCTATACCCCAAGCCCTGTGGGTGCTGAGTGTGTACTGATGCTGGGGATATTAATATTAGTAGGCAGGGGCAGCTCAAGCTGACCTCAAAACATGAATCACCAGCAGGATTTCTAAGAAAATTCTAAGCAATTAACTAAAACCCTCCTGGGACAGTCATAGTTTCCTCTATTTCATAGAAGGAAAAAAAGGGGCTTGAGAGAGGATAATAAGAGCTAATTAAATGCCTACTGTGGGTTAAGTATTGTGCTGATTGCTTTACATATATCATCTTATTTAATATTCGCAACTACTTTTTGAGTAGCATCCTTGACTTACAGATGGGGAAACAGAGGCCCAGAGAGGTGAAGTAACTTGCCCAAGGTCCACAGCTAGGAAGTGGGGAAACTGGTGTTCAAACCCAGTTCTATCTGGCTCCTGAAAACTCCTACTCTGCTGAGAAATGGCAACTGACACTTCCCAGGGTTATCCTGAATTAATTGACCAGCAAAAAGTCCTTCTTCTCTGTTCAGAGCCTTTCTCACTATGCCCCAGCCAGAGGCTCCCAGGATGCAATATGCATCTTCAGGCCCCTCTGAGGGGTCCTGGCTGAGCTATAAAGTCTCAGTTTTGGAAGCCTCCCCCAACCCCACCCTAGGGCTCAAAGAAACCAGGTTCTGAATCCACTGAGGATCCTAGGAGGGCAACGGTAAGGGCAGAGGGCCCAAGACAAGCCAGGAGGGGACCCAGCATATCCTGAGAGCCAAAGGCATGGAGTTATGGTGTAGAGGGGAGGACACAAGCTGGGATCAAGGTCTCGATGAGCAATTGGGGAGTTCCTCTCAGTCCTCTCTTGGAATCCCCACTCTGCCACTGTGTGTCCATGGCCAAGTGACTTTACCTCTCTGAGTCTCAGTTTCATCAAAGGAAGATAATAGTCCGTTCAAGATAAATCATGTAATGTACCCAGCACAACACCCAGAGTGCACTGGAGTGAATACAAGGGTCTCGTTCTTTCCTTCTCCCAGATGCCTCGGACACCACGCCCTGCTGCTTTGCCTACATCTCCCGCCCACTGCCCCGCGCCCACATCCAAGAGTATTTCTACACCAGCAGCAAGTGCTCTATACCAGCAGTCGTGTGAGTCTCAGCTCTGTGGAACCCTCCAGGGGGGCGAGGAAGGGTGACCTTTTGTCCCAGGGCCAGTCCCCCCAGGAGCCTTCTGAGAGGATGGCCTATCCGCTCCCGCCCATCCTCCTGCTGCTCAAAGAGCCATGGCTCCCCGCTCTGGAGCTTTAGACTCCCCAGCTGTCATGTAAAAGGATTAAACAAGGCATTCTTGGAGGATCTTCCCCACTCTGATGGACTAGGTTAGGTCTCAGATCTTTACGGACTGACTTTTACTTGAACGTAGTCTGCAATGCCCCTGCATGGAGAAGATCGACTCAGTCATCCCTTTCCAGTTAAGAACCCCAAATTCCTCCATATCCCACACCCAGTCAAATCCACCCACAACCTCAGAGGAACCAGGGAGGAGAGGTCAGAGGTCAGGGCCCTAGTTGTAGTCAAGAGTGTAAAATAAAAACCTTTATTGATTGATTGATGAAGAAATAAAATGAGATTCTCCTTTAAATATGCATGCTAACATATTTGGGAAAATATAGTAATCCCTACTATCTAAGAAGTGCCTACTGTGTGTCAAATGTCTTACATGCATTATCTCTAAATTTCATCATAACAGCCCTGACAGGAAAGCATAATTTTTTCCATGTTTCAGATAATGAAACTGAGACCCAGAGAGGTTTAGTGACTTGCCCAAGGTTGCACAGTAAGTGAAGGATGGAGCCTGTCTCTGGAGCCTCCTCTTTCTACTATAGCAAGTTCAATAGCGATAGTTGCTTAAGAAATTTAAGATGATAGAGACTTAAAGAATGAAAATCAGGCAATCGTGAAGTTTCCTATAGAATGGCAAAGTTTGTTAATCTGAAAATTCCTGTGACACTGGCAATGTTATAGGTATTCAGAGCTGGCCTGTGGTTCTGGTGAATCCTTTGAAGTATAGTGGTAATATTTAGCACTACAAATTTTGTTTCTGAAAACAAGTATTTTTCAAAAGAAAAGAAACCCTCCTTTGAGCACTTATGGGCATGCAGAGATTAATAAACCGCCATGCCTGCCCTTACGGGACTCATAGTCTAATAAGAGGGATGAGACAGACGCAGCAACGACTAGAGCACCGTGCACAAGAACATGACAGAAGGAGGAGAGGGGGACCACATCCAGCTTCGGGGGTGAGGGGAAGGGATTTAGGGAGGTTTGCTGCAAAGGGTGCTGCTGTCAGAGGTGGGATTGGACTGGCAGAGAAAAGCCTGAGGGGCAGGGTGTGCCAGGCAGAGGGCGTGTCGTCAGAGTCTCCATGTAGGAAAGCACTGAGGGCCCTGAGTGTCAGCACAACGAAGCGAAAGCATCAGTGCTGCCAAGTGTGAAAGGAGCTGGAACAGAGAAGGCCCAGAGAATAGGGTCCAGTTACGAGGCCGTTGTCGTTACCCACCTGAGTGGTGCTGAAGGCTCGGCAGTACCTGAAGGGAAAGGAAGACGAGGGAGAAACCTTCCTAGGTGGAATCAGTAAGCCCTGATAGGTGACTGGAGGTCAGGAGCAAGGAAAAGAGGGGGGTTGAGGGTGTGCTGAGGTTTCAGCCCAGACAGCTGGAGAAGTGGAGGGCCTCCTGAAGTCTTGAGGAAGAGCTGTTTAAAGAGGAAAGGGCCAAGGTGCCAGCACGACAACCCTGTGGAAATGTCCAGCAGGGAGTGTGAGACAAAGGGTTGGTAGCTGAAGAAACAGTATTAGGGCTAGAGCTATGACATTCTTCTCTAGGGAAGGGGGCTCCCAATGTAAGAGTGGCAATACAGCATAATCTTGGGGGGCACTGGCTCCAGGGCCAGTCTGCCTTTGTTAGAATCCCAGCCCTGCCCACTGGGAGCTGCCAGAGCTTGGGCCCATCACTGAACCGCTCTGAGCCTCAATTTCTTCACCAGCAAAGTGGAATAAAATAAAAGTACTTCCCTCACTGGGTCCAAGTGAGAATAATAAAATGAAAGATAAAACCAGAATATTCCCTGGCACACAGTAGGTGCCTGCTAAGTATTCACTTATCATCCTCCTCCTCCTTTAAATGTATTATTATATACATAGAAGTGACAAGGGAAACTTGATGAGCCAATGCAATTCATTCTTTCGCTAATTCATTCAATAAACATCCATTAAGCACCCGTCATGTGCCAGAGACTTGAGAAAAAACACAGAAAAGGACAGCAACTTTGAGCACACCTGCTCCCAAGGGGCCGGTGAAGGTGGAAGATACCAATGAGACGGAGCAGGAAGAGAGGTAGGAGGGAAGTCAGGCAAGTAGAGGGTCCCCAAAATGGGGGCAGGGAGAGAAGCTTGGACGGAGGGGCCGTTCTCCAGTCTCACACTCTGCAGGGAGGAGGAGGAAATGGAGGTCTGAGCAACCCTCCAGATGTTGGTTTCCTGGCCTTTTGACTTCCTGGCCACAGGCTGAGGGAACCGAGGAGAGAACAGTGAGTCTGGCAGGATTTCCTGTATGACCCTTGGCTGCACAGGGGCAGAAGCTTCTGGGTCTCACGCTTCCTCACCACCCCAAATAAGCAAACAAACACTAGGAGGTGCAAGAGCCCAGAATACCCATTCTGCTCCCTTTCTCTTCTCTGCACACCAGGGTGGGAGAAAGAGAGAGAGTCAAGTGGCTCTGAGAGAGGCTCAGAAAAGGGCAAGCTGCTTTCTGAGAGCAAATACTATCCATGACAGAGCTTGAAGAGGAACCAAGAAATCCTCCTTCTCACCAGACAACCTAAGCCTTTTCACTTTGAAAACATTTGGGGTCAAAATGGTTCGGGAAAACATCCTGAAGGAGAAGACAAAATGAGGAAGGACCAAGTAGGCAGGGCTGACCCAAAAGTAACACGTTAATTGGCAGCAGTGCTATCCAGGCCCATGGTCTCCTCCTGATAGGAGCAGCCTCCCAGCAAACAGGTGAGGCAGGCAGCCGGACTGAGCCCCCGACCCCCAGCCTTTATACCTCAAACTTACACCACCAACACCTGTAGAGATAAGGCGTCTAGCTCTCATGGGCCTCCACATTCTGGCCGGTTATTTGGTAGAAGTGCTTTGACATTGCCAATATCTCAGGGCCCACGACCTCTCTGAGCCACATGGTCCAGTACCAGGACATTTGGTTTCAAGTTACTCTGACCCACCCCAAAGCAGAGGTCCCACAGTATTCCAATAACAACACATGTATGGTATTTTTCAAAACTACTTCACACTTAACTTCATTGGAGCTTCAAAACAATTGTGCAAAGTAGGAATTATTTCTATGCTCATTTTACAGGTAAGCAAATAGACTCAGAAGCTCTAAGTGATTTGCCCATGGTGACCCTACTAGTAATTGGTGAAATCAAGACTCTAGTTCGTGTCCTTCTTTCTTCACCCACACATGCATAGATGTGTTCATTTGTTGAGTTATCTACCCTGTGCCTGGAACTGTGTTATCTAAAGCCAAATCATGTATTTGTTTCACCACTTCTTACCTCCCACGTATTCTGCCATGACACAGTTCCTAGAGGACATCTCCTTTTCTCTGCATCTTGAGCACCCAGCACAGGGTCTGAAACAGAGGAAGTGCTGAGAAAACGCTAGTGGTTAACCAGCTTAACCCTGGGCTCCTCAGGCCCCATATGCCCTTAACTCTCCAGGCTGCATGTGTTTGTGGGTTAAAATGCACACAGATCTGCTTCTGGCTTGGAGCCCTTTGACCCAAAAGAAGAGGAAATGTCCTTTCCTTAAAAGCCACAAATACAGGGGCCGACCCCATGGCTGAGTGGTTAAGTTCACACACTCCACTTCAGCAGCCTAGGGTTTCGCCGGTTCGGATCCCAGGCGCGGACATGGCACTGCTCCTCAGGCCATGCTGAGGTGGCGTCCCACATGCCACAACTAGAAGGACTCACAACTAAAATATACAACTATGTACTGGGGGTATTTGGGGAGATAAAGCAGAAAAAAAAAAGAAGATTGGCAACAGTGAGCTCAAGTGCCAACCTTAAAAGAAAAAAGCCACAAATACAATCTTATGGAGCTCTAAAAATACCCAAACAGTACCATCATCATTTCCCCTTATGCCTCAGTCTGCCTTATCCTCGAAACTGGCTGTCCCAGTGCTGACCAAGTCTCACCCTCTTCTCTCCCACAGCTTTGTCACCCGAAAGAAGCGCCAGGTGTGTGCCAATCCAGAGAAGAAATGGGTGCGAGAGTACATCAACACTTTGGAGATGAGCTAGGATTGGAGGGCATCTCGAACCTGAACTTGTGCAAACTTTCTTGTTGCTTCTTGTTCTTGTCCTAACCTGCTTGGGAGGCTTCCCCCGAACCCCCTACTCCCACTCGCTCCTTGGAGGGCGCAGATTCCAGCACACAGCAGCAGTTACAAAAGCCTCCCCCATCCAAAGCCTCCAAGAGCTTCTGAGGCTCTGCCTCGTGCACAGGAAGTCTCTAGGCCTGAGCATCAGGCCCCTCGGCTCGCCTATGGTTCTGTGATCAGGAAGGAAGTCAGCATGCCTCTGGAGGTGAAGAGGGGAGAAAGGTTGGACTCCTATGGAAATGTCCCATGGCCAAAGCTCCCTCTTGGTCCCTCACTTGGAAGGGCTGACTGGCAAATGTGAGAAATCAGCTTTCCATTAAAATTCTTAAGGCAATTACAAAGCTGCCTCCTGTTTGATCTTCTCCTCAGGAACCCTTCTTCCTCATGAGCATTAAGCACACAAGGGGCCCCGGGCTTGTACACATCCAGTGTCTACCCTAGATTTGGGGGCTGTGGCCCTGCACAGTGAGCAGGGCTGGGAGCACAAACTCTCTAAGTAGTGTCCAGGGCAGGACAGGACAGGTAAAGTAACTATGGCTCATCCACTCTGGGGGGAAACAACGGTCACTACATCACCACCCCAAAGTCCCCATGAGTCTATCTCACTCCCTGCCATAGCACATCCCAGTTTCCTTAGACTGTGGTTGGCCCTTCTACCCACTCTGATCCCCTTCCACCCTAGCCTACCCTACACTTTATCCCCAGTGGATTTCTTTAACACCACTCTTGCTCCTGGAATGGGACTTAGTGGCAATTCCCAAATATCTCAGTTCTTTCAAATAAAGAGAATGAGGTATTATGTGGTTTTCTGCCACCACACCTTTAAGGTGGGAGTATTCCAACTTTCCCATCTATGTGTCCCTTCACATGAACATATTGACAATATATATCATCACAATTATAGCTAGTATTAACTGAGCGCTATGTGCCAGGCGTGTCAGCCCTTTACATTCATCACCCTTCATCCTCACAACCCTTTGGGCTAGGTAGATTATTAACCCTGTTCACAGTTGGGGAAATCCTTGGCAAAAGAGGGAAATAACTTGCCCAAAACAGAAAAAAAAAGAAAAAGAAAAAAGCTGGGGAGAGGTACAATCAACATTTAACCTCACCAGGTCTAATGCCAAAGCCCATGGGGTACTTTTTTTTGTTTTCCATCTTTAATTTGTAATATTTAAAACCTACAGAAATTTGCAAGAATACACCCATATACCGTTCATCTAGATTCAAATATTAACATTTTACTACATTTGCTTTATCTTTGTGCATACGTGTGTGTGTACATATAATATAAATGGTTGGTATACACATTTTTTTTCTGAATTTGCGAGTAAGTTGCAGGTGTGATAACACTTCGCCCCTAAAATGTTTCAGTACCTATCTCCTACTAACAAGGACGTTCTCTGTAACCACAAAATGAGTAGCACACTCAGGAAACTTAACATCCACACAATATTATTTTCTAATATACAGTCCATCATCAAATCCCCACAATTGTCCCAATTGCTGGTTTTTTTTAAATCAAGGATCCAATTAAGTATACATATTGAATTTAGCTGTCGTGTCTTTTTGGTGTCCTTTAACAGACTTTTTTTGTATTTAAGTACATTGATACTTTTTTAGGAGTTCAGACCAGATTTTTGTGGAATACTTCCTACTTTGGATTTGCCTGATTATTTCCTCATAACGAGATTCAAGTTAAACATTTTTGGCAGGAATACCACATGGGTAACACTGTCTTTCTCAGTGCAGCACATCAGGGCACAAGATGTCAGTTTACTGGTGGTGGTATTAAGTCTGATGACTCGGTGGCCCATGTTTCTTGCTACAGCGAACTGCCTGCTGTGTGCCAGGCACTATGCTAGGCTTTGGGGGGTGGGAATAGGGGCGGCATAGAGAAGTGAATGAGCCACAAGCCACAATCTTTACTTTTAGCAGTTCACAGTCCAGTGAGGAAGTACCTACGAACAGATTAAACATGTGATAAACACTTAAAGCAACTGTACAAAGGGCTGTGGTCACATTGTAGGGCAGGGGGATTACACCACTGAATGGGGTGAGGCAGGGTGCCCGGGGGAGAAAAGACACTGAGAGATGAGATAATATTTAAATGGAGTTCGAAAGATTTGAGAAATAGTTTAACAGGTAGAAAAGGAAATGAAAGCCCTGATAGGTAGAGGGAACAGCATATGCAAAAGTAGGAGGTATGAATGGCAGCTCCTCACCACACAGAGAAGAGTTCAGTCTCTTGCTGCCAAGGAGGTAGGTGTGTGTATAAAAGGGCCTTTCCATCTCTGCCATTTTCCGATAACTAATCCTAAGAACAAGCCCTGCCTCTAACGTGGGCTTAAGTGAGTTTGACAGTTCACCATAGGCTTTCACTTTCTTTTCGATTATGCCTCACCACAGCCCCCCTAGTTAGCCAGACAGATATGGCTTTTGCACTTCTCAGATGAGGAAACTGAAGCCCCAGAGATAAAGTGGCCAGCTCAATTCACAGGCCGGTAGATGTCAGGGCTGGGGCTCAAGAATGGAACTGGAATGTTCTATTTACCTAGGAGATCTGGTTGCTCAGCACTTGGAATCCTCTACCTCCAAAAGGCCAGACGCCTCACCAGTCCCTCGTGTGCCACAGAAGACACAAGAGTGACTCCAAGCTCCACTCCCCCAGCGTGCCTGTGCTCCCCTCATGCCCAGGTTCCCTCTGGCCCCACCAGGAGAAGAAGAGGATGGCCTACGGAAAGTCAAATATCTTGGAGGTTGGCAGATCGATGTACAAGTACCCATGGCTGGAATATCCAGAAAGGGCCAAAGGTGAGGCTGGAATGGATAGGAACAGAGTCAGGGGCAAGGCCCTGAAAGGGAAAGCTCCCTGACTCCCACTCCCAGGCAGAGGTCTGGGTGAGTTCAGCAAATCCATAGGAGGGGTCAGGGCAGACCCTTTGACACTTCCATGGCTCCCCACAGCCCTCAAGGTAAGTCTCCAGGGTCCTCTAAGGTGGGACATCTGTGTGTGTCCCCAGCTTCTTCTCGCACATCTGTACCCTGCTGTCTACCCAACTCTCACACCTCCATGTCTTTGCATAAGTTGTTCCCCACGCCTAATGCTCTCCCCTATATCTATCTAAATCCTATTTGGATTGAAGACTCAGCTCGTGTATAATCTCCTCTGGGAAACCTTCCCTGATCCTCCCAGCCAGGCTATGGGCCCCTCATCTGTACCATCTGTGCCTTTATCTGTCTTCACATTTGTTTCCTTTGTTAATCTCTAATAACAGTTCTGTCTCACCAGCTAGACCAGTGGTTCTCGGAGTGTGTTCCCAGGACCAGCAGCATCAGCATCTGCTCAAAATGCAGATTCTCAGAATCCTCTACCCCAGGTCTACTTAATCAATACTCCTGGGATGAGTTCCAGAAATGTGGGTTTTAACAAGCTCTCCAGGTGATTCTAATGCACACTCAAGTTTGAGAACCACTGAATGAGACCAATAGTTTTGACCATTAGCTGCATGTTAGAATCCTCAGGGGAGCTTTCTAAAGTGCCTAGGTGCCTTCCCCAGAGAATCTGTTTCAATTAGTCTGATGGAGGGCTGAGGCATGTTAAAATTCTCCCCAATAATTCTAATATGCAGTCAAGGTTTCGAAGCACTCTACTAGGCCAGTATTTCTCAAACTTCAATGTGCATAGGAATCTTCTTAAAATGAAGATGCTGATTCAGTAAGTCTGGGGTGGGGCCTGAGATTCTGCATTTCTGAGATGCATCCAAGCGATGGAAACGCTGCTGTTCCGCAGACCATGATTTGAACAGCAAGACACCAGGAAACTACAAGCCTCTAACAACAGGAATTATGCCTTATTTACCTCCCCGGTGCCTGGTACTAGTGTTCACTAAATGCTGGATAAATGAACGCCTGAATGGATTATTCTTTACTCCACCTTTGTAACTGCTGTCTCATCTGTACCACAGAATTCCGAAAGGCCATGGCTCCTGTTCGCCTGCCCTTGTCCTGCTACCAGGTAAGACCCCTAACTTTTGCCATCCCGGGAACTTTGTTGAAGTAGGAGGGGTATTAGACTGTCCCTTCCCTTTAAGGCCAGTTCACAGAACCCTGACACTCACCCCTAGGGCTGCCACTATCCCCGTTTGAACTTGGACAAGTCACTTTCCCTCCCTGAGCCTCAAGAGCTTCCTCTGTCACAGGCTAACCCCTGCCCAGCTCCCTACGAAGGGAGTTGCTATGAGATAATATCTACAAGGCCTGGACTATGCAGGCAGTGCTTAATAATGAGTCATTTTTATTAATTAACACAGGGATCCTCAGAGTTGTCAGATAAAATACAGGGTCCCCAATTAAGTTTGAATTTCAGATAAACAATGAGTAATTTTTTTAGTATAAATATGTCACAAGTATTGCATTCATTATCTGAAATCTAAATTTAACTAGACGTCCTATTTTTTTATATGCTTGGTTTTTACTAAACCTGACAACCCTACTTATTGTGAGTCAATGCTCCATTTTCTAAAATCATGACAGTCACTTGAGAACTCTTATTATCATCCTCTCAGTCACCAAATTGGGAACCCCTGGCTGAAGGCCCTCTTCCTCGTTGCTCGGAGATCAGTTGTAAAGACAAGAAGCCTTGAGCAGAGACAGGAATGAATCCTAGCCAAATCTTCAGAGAAGGCCCCTGGCCCACCCAACACCTTCCGCTACAATCAGAACTGCAGTTTCACAATTGTTTGAGAGATGAGTTAAAGAAATCCTGTTTTTCTGACTAAACTGTTAAGTTCCATGAGGGCAGGGATGACAGTGCTTGGCACATAGTAGGTGCTCAATCGATCCCTGTTGAGGGCCTGAAAGAGTAAGCAGTAGCCTGTCTTTTTCCCTTCTTTACTGCACATCTCCCTCACCCCTTGACATTTCATCTCCTTGCCCAGGTGATCTTCTCAAAGTGTTCTGAGATCCCCAACTAAACAAACTGTGTACTCAGATTGATTTACAGATCAACAAAGGCTTCACAATCTTTACCTCACTTGATCTTCACAACACCTTGGGAAGGGTATAGAACAAGAATTATTAGATCCATTTTGCAGATGAGAAGACTGAGATCTTGGTAGGGTGAAGTAACTTGCCCAAGTCACACAGTGGGTTAGGAGGTAGCTGTAACTCCAGCTCAGATGAGAGGCTGAAGGGCATCTCGCTCACCTAGTCCCTTCTCACCCTGGCCCTTCTCCTGGCTGAGGAATATCCCCTGTGACTGCTCTGCCACTCACATCCCCCAGAAACCAAAGGAAGAGATTCCCCCAAGTCCAGAGTGCTGGAGGCAGCACCCGAGCAGGCCAAACTCAGTACCTTACTGCTACTTCAAGAAGCCTGAGATCTACACGCACTGGCGTACCCTGTATGATCAGCGACAGGAACGGGAGGCCCAGAAGATGTTACGGAAAACGAGAGATCACCCTAGGTGTGCTCTGCCCCTTCCTATTCTCCACATCCTCCACACCTTCTAGGAAAGAGGGGAAGGAGGGGGTGGGGTAGGGGGCGGGACAAGTCAGCATACAGATCCCAGAGAGGACCCTGGGGAAGGAGGTTCATCTGTCTTCCTCTGGTCCCACCTGAGCTGGGCTCAGGACCAGAGGCAGAGGAGAGTTTGTAAAATAAGGAGGGAGGGAACAAGAGAACCAAGACTGCCTGTGCAATTTCTCACACAGGTACCTCAAAGGGGCTGCTGCCATACAAAAATTCCATCTCCCCATGAGCAAGTTGACTATAAAATCTGAGGTGGCATCCAAGGTCTTAGACCCTACTGGGGACCCCTTGAAGTGGCAAAGATTAAAGGTCAGGGACCATGGTGGGAGGGAGAATGGGGAGACTCCCTCCCTGTGGGTGCCTTACCTTGGGCTCACACCATCCTTCAGCCCTCAGTCCCTGCCTGCAAAATGGAGGGAGGGGAGAAAGGGGATTGGATTGGATGAGCTCCTTTCAGTTTGAAGTTCTACAACTACATTTATATCCTTTTATTCCTTTCCACTGGCTCCCTTGGATGGGCAGGAACTCACAAGAAGCCTGAAATCTCCCAGAGAGGATGAGCAGCTCTATGCGGCACAGGTGAGAAGTGGCAAGGGTGGAGAAGCATGGTTACAGGTAGGAGTTAGCTAAGCCAGACAGCAGAAAGATGCTTGAGGTGGAGGGTGGGGGTAGGATGGTATTCCAAGAACCAACTCCAGCTGTTCCAGAGGATGGTAACTCCTGAGGGTGATGTCCAATGTCTCTTCTCTTTCCTCCACCCCTATTCCTGCAGGCTCTAGGGAGCCTGGGAATCAGCGACAAGTTTGTCATGGACGCACTATGGCAGGTGGTGAGTCTGGGGCTGCCTGGAATTCAAGAGAGGAGGAAACAGGGTCAGAGGTGTGTAGAGCATGGGCACTTGGGCACAGACAAGTTTCACCAGGGTGCAAGGACAATGGGTCAGATCCAGTGAGGAGAGAGCCACCAGTGGGCAGCATGTCACCATCTCATGCCCTTGGCTTCTCTGAAGGGCAGCTTGATCTAAAAGGATGAAGAAGGGGGAATCTGTAGATCCCTTGGTCTAACAGAAAAGATGCTCGACTGAAAAGCCAGGAGAGAACTGGGACTGAGTTCATTCTCTGCCTTAAGTGAGTCAATGCCCCATGCTTACATGCCAATTTATAAATGGGGAGCATGCATTCTTAGCCATAATCTCATTTAAATCTTACAATACTAGGATTACGTAGTAGTATCTGCATTTTTCTAATGAGAAATGGAAGCTTTGAGAGGCCAAGTGACTTGCCCAATGTCACGTGGCTACTAGACACCACATAGAGATTTGAACAAAAGTCTCACTCCCAAGTTGTCTTCCTTCCATTGCACCATCCTGCCTGTACTCTGTATTTGAGCATAGACAGGTCATTCTCTAGGCCTTCATGTCCTCATTTGTAAAATGAAAAGCTGAGATGATTCTTAAAGCTCTGACATTCCATCACCTTAGGCATGTTTCCACTATTTGCCTCTTAAATCAGGCCCAAACTGGTCCAGAGAAAGTGAAGTATGAGGCTTGTCGAACCCTAGCCATCCTGGGTAAGTATGTCTTCTCCCTGGATGGGGAGTAGGGTCAGGTGAGAAAGGAGGCAGTACAGCCACTTTCCCCTTTGGGTAAGGACAGAAGGAAGTGGAGAGCATTTGGCAGGGTCTGGGAACTATGCTAGATACTGTTGGGCAGAGAGAGGAGGGTGAGGTGAAAAGGGAGAAGAGATTGGAGGGAGGGAGAAAGAGGGCTTCTGGAATTGCAGTCATGCTCAGCCAGCTGCTCTGGTATCCTGGGAGGACAGGCAACCTTCTGGGACCTAGTACTTGGAACTTCTGTCTTGAGGGCACACTGGAGTCAAATGGATCCTGGCAGAGAGGAGCAGCCCCTGAAGCTCTGCCCTGACCTGAGGACCCCCCTGTCCAGGTTGCCTGAATAAGTACGTGATCCAGGCTCTCATCAAGCAGTTGAAGGGGCAAAATGAGGGGCAAAGGATGGATACTCTGACAGGACTGCAAGCGGCTCTGAACTCCTGGGCTGCTGTCCCCAAAGACAAGGTGATTGGGATGAGTTGGTACTTGGGGCAAAGTAGGGCAAGGTAACTGATGGTATTGGCTGGGGGGGTAGGTCAGGAAGAAGGGAACCTAGCTCCTAGCTTTGATGGGGGGAAGACATTGTCCTTGTGGAGTTCTCTGAGGAATAGTTTCCCTGAATAAAAGCATTGGCATAGCCACTTACTAGTCTTACACCTTCTGAAAAGCCAGCATTCTTTTGATGCAAAGCACAGTTTGACCACCTCTAAAATGGAGATAGTAATTACCTTATAACATCGTTGAGAAAATTAAGTGAGACAATGTACGTAAAGCACCTAGTTCAATGCCTGTGCTGTTTAAATGATAACCATCATTATCATCCCTAAAATAACCTATTAAAGGAAAATCTCTGTCAAGGGGACAGGGACCAAGAGAGTCCACTGACAGTCCTCAAGCTTTTTCCCTTTGAGGGTCCTTTCACTTTGACCCCATTACTGCTCCATATAAAACAGAATTCATCATTCATCCATTTACTCAACAAATATATATATATTTTTAATTTTTTTTATTTTTCCTTTTTCTCCCCAAAGCACCCCCAGTACATAGTTGTATATTTTTAGTTGTGGGTCCTTCTAGTTGTGGCATGTGGGATGCCGCCTCAGCATGGCTTGACGAGTGGTGCCATGTCCACGCCCAGGATCTGAACCAGTGAAACCCTGGGCTGCCGAAGCAGAGAGCGTGAACTTAACCACTTGGCCATGGGGCTGGCCCTCAACAAATATATATTAAACAGCCGTCATGTGCGAGGCACTGTCCTAGGCCCTTGGGATACATCAGTGAACCAAAAAGGCAAAGATTCCTTCTCTTGTGGAGCTTACATTCTAGTGGGAGGAGACATGTAATAATGAATAAACTTATTTATATAGTATGTTAGAGGTGACAAGCACAGTGAAAAGATGTAGCAGGGTGAGGGTGATCAGGAATGCCAAGTGGGAATGAGAATGGGTTGCAATTTTAAACATGGAAGAGAGTGAAGGCTCATTTAGGTGTCATCTGAGCAGAGATAAAGAAGGTGAAGGGGTTAGCCATGCAGATATTTGAGAGTAGATTCTCTCAGCAGAATGACCAGCAGAAGGACCAATCAATGCAAATACCCTAAGGCAGGAGCATCCTTGGCATGGTCAAGGAACAGCAAGGAGGCCAGTGTGGCTGAAGCAGAGTGGGAATAGAGCAAGCAGTCGGAATTGAAGTTAGGTCAATAAAGTTAACAGAAGACTAGATCATATGTGGCCTTCTGGACAACTTTAAGTACTTGGGTTTTTACTCCGAGTGGAATAAGGAGCCATTAGAAGTTTGTAGCAAAGCAGTGACATGATCTAACTTACATTTCAAAAGGTTCACTCTGACTGGTATGTTGAGAAAAACAGGAGGCTGGGGTGGGGGCAGCAAGTGGGGAAGGAGAGAAACCAATTAGGGGCTATGGAAGCAATCCTGATGAGATATAATGGTGGCTTGGAGCAGTAGGGTTCATAAGAAGTTATTAAATTCTGGATATATTTTAAAAGTAAAACTCTGATGGGTTGAATGTGAGCTATAAAAGACAATGAGGAAGGATGAAGCCAAAGCTTTTGGCCCAGCAACTGAAAGGATGGAGTTGTCATCAACTAACATGGAAAAAACTACAGGTGGAACGGATTCGGAGGTAATAGGTAAAGATTTGGAGAACATCCAGTTTTGGACAAGTTAAGTTTGAGATGTCTATTGGACCTCCAAGGGAGACAGCAAGTACACAGTTGGATACACAATTTAGATTGCAGAAGTCTGAACTAGAGAAAGAAATTTATGTGTTGTCAGCATATAGAGAGCATTTGTCATTCAACTAGACGAGATCACTAACAACAGAACCAGGAACCCAGCCTTGGAGCATCCCAATGTTAAGAGGTCAGGGAGAAGCAGTAAATACTGAGAAGTGGCCAATAGGTAAGAAGACACCCTGCAGTATTCTGAAAATCAAGTGCAGAACATATATTAAGGAAAGGAGACAAATCAACTACATCAAATAATATAAGGACTGAGAATTGATACATGGATTTAACAATGTGGGACTCGATTATCTTAAGAAGAACCATTTTGGTGGGGTGGTGGTCGTGAAGGCCTGACTGGAGCAGATTTAAGAGAGAATGGGAGGAAAGAAATGAGAGACAGCAAGAATGGACAATTTTCCAAGTTTTGCTGGAAAGGGTTGTAGCTGGCACCAGTAGTAGACTCTAGGAAAAAGAAAAATAACAGCATGTTTCTATGCTGAAGGGTAATGACCCAGTAGTTAGAAAAATGATAATTTTTTAAGAGAATGGGAAGAGTTGTGCAGTAATGTTCTTGAGTAGTGAGACGGGATGAGATCTAACACACAAATGGAGAGATTGACTTTAGATAGATGGTCATAGTCCATAGCAACAAGTGGAAAGGAAGAACATAGGAGTGCAGGTGTTGAAAGTTGGAGAGAAGTGGTGGTAGGTGTCTCTGGAACTTCTTTTCTAGTTACTTTTATTTGCTCAGCAAAGTAGGAAGCAAGTGAAAACGGAGGAAGAAGTATTAGAGGTTCCAGAGAAAAGGTGTGAGCCAGGAAGTGGGAAAGAGAATTGCCTGGGGAAAAAAACAGTATGATTACTAGGCAGCATTAAGTGTCTACATGAGGTTTGTGTTCACACATTTAAAGCAAGATCAGTCATCATGACTGTGTGTTTTTCTCCAGGAAGTGCAGGCATAGAGTAAGTGGAGAGTTGAGTACCATGAAGCAAGAGGGGGTAAAGAAGTTGAGTAAGGCAGGGAAATGATTACTGTAGGACCATGGAATTTAAGCTGGGTAAAGAGGAAGAAAGTGATGAGCAGCGAAAATGTGCTCAATGGATTGTTAGTCCTTGTGGAGTCCAACAATTGTTGGCATTGGGAGGTGAGCTGGAAAGATAGGAGGGTGGTGGTCAGAGAGTGAGATCCAAGAAATGGAGATCATGGAGAAGTTGTAGTAATGTGTAATGATAAAGTCTCTCTATGGGAATTAGTGGCTGATATAGAGTGGAAAACAAGGTTATTGGAGGAGAGGAGTTGGATGACATGTATATTTTTTTAAATAACAGGAATTAAGACAGCAGAAGTGTTAAAGAGAGTAACAATGATCCATCCACAAGATAAAATCATACAGAAATGAGGGGATGGTACCCAGGAACAAGTAGATAGCAAAAATAAGGGGAAGTGGGTAAAATAATCTGATGACATAAGATTCATTTGAGGGAGGAGGGAGAATGGTCTGGAAGCAGCAATGAATTGCCCTCTTAACAAAGCCTGGCTGAAGACATAGTCCTCCTGCCCATTTTACCTCCTGTCTCCCTCTCAGAGGACTCAAGTTGGGAACGAAGGGAAGTTGGTACCTGTGCTGCAGACGCTGATAAAGAAGTCATCAAATGAAGCAGCCATGGAGGCAGCCCTGTGCTTGGGTTTCCTGAGGCCACACAACAAAATAGCCCGAGAGTTCTTGCTGCAGTCCCTGTGCCAAGGGCCCAAGACCCAGAGGATGAAGGTATGAGGGGCAGGAGGCTGGGCTCCTTGGGGAGCACTGGGGAAACAGAGGCCAGTACTGACTTCGGTGGGTCTGGATGCTGTCATCCTCATTACAGAAAAAGGAAGCCTCACCAGTAGCGAGCACTGCAGGGTCCTCTGTGTGTTTGTGAACATGTATATACATGAGTATGGTGTCATGTGGACAATATGTGTCTGTGTATATTTGATTTGTACGGATGTTCATGTATGTGCACACATGTGCACACATGAACTTGTGCTCTCAAGAGGCCAAGAGGCAGGAGAAAGGCCCCCACCTATTCCCCATGAGTTCTAGGCTCAGCCCTCAGGTTTGCCCACCATCCAAATGCCTCTCGGCCATGTACACCCCACCTCGCCCTGCTCACCCCTCACAGGCACTTAGGATGCTGGTCAAGATGATGCATGTACACTCAGCCGCAGTCATCACAGCTATCCTACACCAGCTGTGCTACTCCAGTGTCCTTGAGGTAAGCTCTAGGGCTGCCTAGTACCCTTCTTCTCTGGCACTAGGACAGGGTTAGGGGGTGAGGAAGGGAGTTTGTCCTTCATACCTCCCTCACCCCTGCCCTCAGCACCGCTTTGAAGCCACCCAGATGCTCAAGACCATTGGGCTGGAACAGATCCAAGCACAGGGGCTGGAGGGACTCACATTTGACTCGCTCAGGAGGAAGATGTATAATGAACCCTTCCTTGTAAGTGAGACCAAAGCTTCCAAGCCCAGACAGCCCAAACCTGTCTCCTCTCCCTTCTCTAAAGATCTCCCCTGGGTTGGCTCCCACCACACAGCCCTCCAAAAGTATCACAGTCACCCTAACCCACTCCCTGTTCCCCTAATGCAAACCCACGATTTCAAGCCACCTTGCCTTTGCTCAGGCAGTTCTCTCAGTTTAAAATGCCCTGAGTCATTCCGCCCCCCCCGCCCCCCCCGCAAGATGAAAAACTGCCTCACGCTAATCACTCCCACTGGTAAGTAACTCTCCTCTCTCCCTCTGCCTATTTATTAAGATAGGATTGCTCCTTTAAGACCAGTCTGAACACCTCCTCCTATAGGGAGCTTTCCTAAATCACCACAAACAGAATCAACCCTGCTTTTGTGTGTTAAAACCCTTTCCTGTGATAAAACCCTTGCTTTTATCTTTATTAGCTTATTACAAAACCAGCCACAGAATTTCTAAAGACAATCTTCTAAAACGTAGATCAGATTGTGTCTCACCTCTGCATAGAACTTTTCAATAGCTCCCCAGTGCCACAGGATGGCTGACATTGCCCTTCAGCACCCAAGACCTGCTTACCTCTCCAGTCTCTCTCACCAGTCTCCCCCTCAGAGCCATACACCAACCAGCAATGCTTAGGATGACCCTGTCCTGATTTATACCTGTTGTCCCAGTGTGATTACTCAGGGTGCTCCACTCTGAAGAGTCCCAGTTTGGTCACCTAGCTAAATTCAACTATTTTCTGTTCCTAAGCTCTCTGTGCTCTCTCTTGCCTCCAGGCTTTATATATGTTCTCCTCTCTGCAGGGAAAATCACCCTGCCCTCTGCCTGGTTAACTCCTACTCACGCTTCAGGTTTCAGCTGAAGCATCACCTCCTCCAGGAAGTCTTGCTGGTACCTAGACAGAGTCAGGAGACCTTCCTATCTGCACCCTACACTTAGTGCCGTTGTAATGCTTACTACAGTAGTGTAATTGCCTATTCGCTTGTCTACTTCCTCCACCAGACCATGAGCTCCTCAAGGCAAGGACCAAATGTAGCACAAAGTAAACGTTCAATAAAGGTTTGTGAAGCACCTAAGGACACACCTTGCATTCCTTCTCTCTGTTGCCCAACCTTATTCCCTCTTCAGGCTAACAGGCAGGCTGTGGCTGAAACTGTGGAAAAGCTCAAGATGAAGCCTACGATGATGAACTTGGTGGAAGCGTGAGTGGCTAGGGCTGGGAGCTGCCAGGGCCAAATCCTAGGCTGTGGGAAGGGGGCAGGTCAGAAAGAGCTGAGAACCTGCTGCCAGTTCACTGATCCCTGGGCTTTCCTTCATCTGCAAAAAGGGGCTGATAAGACCTACCACTCTGGCTTACTATAAAGCTCAAATTAAGATAAGGACACGAAAGGGACTTGTAAAAGGTTAAGTTCTGGACAAGTGTAAGACATGATAGTCATTTAGCGCCTCCTGGCAAATTGCAGTATTTGCCTTTCCTCTCCAGGCCCTTTCCTGACCCAAGAAACAAGAGGCGGAAATTAATGAAATTAGCATCACTCATCAGCCTTATTCCCGGCTCACTCTGGGCTGTAAGAAACAACCAGCCTTCCTCCCTCCACCCCTTAATTGGACCACAACACACACACGCTCCTTTCTACACAGGCAATTGATGAACTCAGATGCCATTGCACGCCAGGAAGCAATCATCTCTTTGGTAAGGCCAGCTCTGCTTCTCTGACCAGATGTGTTGATGGCAGGGGGAGCAGGCAATTTTTGTTTGTTTGTTTGTTTTCGTTTTTAAGATTTTATTTTTTTCCTTTTTCTCCCCAAAGCCCCCTGGTACATAGTTGTATATTCTTTGTTGTGGGTCCTTTTAGTTGTGGCATGTAGGACGCTGCCTCAGCGTGGTTTGATGAGCAGTGCCATGTCCGCGCCCATGATTCAAACCAACGAAACACTGGGTCGCCTGCAGCGGAGCGCGCGAACTTAACCACTCGGCCACGGGGCCAGCCCCGGGAGCAGGCAATTAAGCAGGGTTACTGAGGGGAAGAAAGAGCTGTAAAGTTTGGGGAGGTTGTTTGCTTGTTTATTTTAGAATTCCAGGCCTACCAGGAGTTCAGGGTAACCTTTTCTTCAGGATTAGAGGTGGGTGGGATAAGGGACAGGAGCTGGGTGTAAAGGGCATTGCTTAGATATTGCAGAAATTGTCTTCAGTCTTCCTGGTGAATAAGGTGCACTGGAATCCAAAGCAGTGGCCACAAAAGGCAAAGAAGGGGACACCTCAGCTAGGAAGCCATATCTCCGCCTCTCTCCGGGCTACAGGGTCATGACAAGGGGGCTAGAATAGAAAAGAGCATAGAGGGAGCACCTTTCTGGGGCTGGCTACTTAGGCACTCTCATTCTGCCTCTGCCAGGGCGTCCTGGGGATCCGTAGCCCACAAGTGTTCCACTTGCTCCTAGACATGCTAGATGCGGAAAAGAACCAGCCTGTGAAGAAGAGGGTAAGGCATTCCTGCTCACCTCTTCTTCTTCCCAACCCTTCCTCCAAGCCTCTCCCACCCATCCTCACCACTTCCTCTTTGTCAGGATGGAGGAGAGGGGAATGATCCCTGAGACACTGTCCCTTGACCTCTTTCCTTAAGGCTATAGTGGCCTCTGGCCAGAGCTCCCCTTCCCTGTAGCACCCCCTCCCCTCCCAGCCTTAGCCTTAAGTGAGTCAACCATAGGGCCTTTGTTTCAATGCAGCTACAAGAAACATTAATTCTTTTGGCTTCAATTGACCCCTGGATCCAAAACAAGCTGAAGAACAAGGTACTCTTTGTATATGAGGCACCTAGGACCAATGAGAAGGCAGAGCCCACAAGGTTCCGAAAAGAGCCTGTGAAGCCAGAAGAGTTAAAAATCCAAGACTTCCACCTTGCACAGCTGAACCTGTTTGACGCAAAGTCTAGCACCACGTTGGACCAACAGAAAAAGTTGAGTGCCCAGAAAGGGTTTGCCTCCTACCTCACATCTGCTTTCCCACCCTGTTTCTCTAAACCACTAAAACAAAAGTCACAGGTCACAGGGCCCTGGACGCCAGAGATCAGGAGACAGCTCCAGACCCTTGCTAAAACCTCCAAATAGGCCCAGCCCACACTCTCTCCCTGAGGATGCTTCTTAGGCTCCCCAGAGAAAACAATCTATACTTACCCTACATGAATAAATGAATGTCACTCTCCCTACCACTGCAGTTCCCTTCATCAGAGTCTACACTGAAACACAGGTCTCCTCACTCCTGGTTGAAGGTTCCTTCCACTCAGCCACATGCCCCTTTCATGAGAAAGAGAGAAGGACAGAGCTAAAGCTGTTCTGGATGGCCAGCTTGCCTCCCTAAATTAAGCCCTTGTCTATGCCTAGAATTTGATGACAAAACTAGAGTTGAGCCTATGCCCAAGAGGGGGCTGCTGAAGGGAAACTAGGAGAAAATCCTGGAAAGCTTGGCTCTTGGACCATTTCCTCTTACCAACTTGACCCATCCCCCACTACTATCAATCTAGCTCTTTTATCCCCACTACCAGTTCTTTGACTTTCATCACTAAGCTCCTGACTTCCCTGCATTCTGTTAGTCTGTATCCCTGTTAGCCCCCTTTCATTTTTTCTTCCTACTCAGCCTGGACTCCTTCCATCAACCACTATCCTTACTATTCCCATACCTCCACTATCACCTCTCTGACTAGTAAAATCCCTAACTCTAAATCAAATTGCCTCTGTTCCTATAACCAAGTTGCTGACTAAAGCTGGAGAAAAATCACAATCGGTACAGACTGGTACCCCCAAATACTTGCCCCTTCCTTAACTAAGCCCTTATTCTTGTCTGGCAATTTTATGGGTTCCTAGTCATGATACTTTCCTATTTCCCACAATGGTTATCTCAAGCCTTCTCTATCCTCACACTCCTTAAATCTCCTCAAACTTTCTATCATATTACTTCCCCAAATCTCAGTAGACTTTCTCTTCAGGGAAAAAAAAAAGACATCAGATGGAATTACCTCAACTTCCTGCCACCTGTTGTAAGCATCCTCATATATAGTAGTTAAGAGCACAGGCTCTAACGCCAGACGCTTGGGTTAGAATCCTGGCTCTGTGACTTACTAGAGATGTGATCTTGGGCAAGCTGCTTAACCTCTCAGTACCCCTGTTCCTCACTGTACGCTCTGACAAGTCCCTTCCAGTGTCAATCAAAATCATTTACACCATTCACCTCTTCCATGAAAGGTTTCCTATATCTCCTTGCCTCATGGCATTGTGAGAATTAAGTAAGTTAACATACAGACTGCTTATAACAGTGCCTGGCACATAGTTATCTCCCAATAAATGTCAGTTATTTGTTATTACTATTACAGCAACTGTACCTATCCTTACCTCCAACCACAATGCAAGAGGCATTCTCCTCTTCTAAGGCAAACCCTCCACCAGTGTTCTGGATGCCATTCCTTCAAGGGTTTCAACATCAATTATCCCCATTTCCTTCCAAGCAGGGTACAAACATGCTCAATTCTCATCTATCTTAAAAATAACTGCCCACAAACCCCTATCTCTGTCTTACCTCATCCCACCTCTAATCATCCTTCATAATCAAGATTCTTAAATAATTGTCCACATCACCTGTATCCATTTCTCTAATTTCTATTATTCATTATCTCACTTCAGTTTGGGTTCAGAATTCAATTCTCTACCAAAACTGCTTTTGCTAAGACAGTGGTTCTCAACAGGGGCAATTTTCTGACTTGGCAATGTCAGAAGACACTTTTGGTTGTCACAACCAGGGGCTGCTACTGATGTCTCGTGGTAGAGGCTAGGAATGCTGCTAAACATCCTACAATGCACAGGGAAGCTCCCACAATAAAGAATTATCCAACCCAAAATATCAGTAGTACCAAAGTGGAGAAACTCTGCTAAGATAATTTACAACCTACATATTGCTAAATAAATGAGTGCTTTCTCTCCTTTATATGAGCTGGCCTGGCCTGAGCACTTGACACCATTAGCTTTTCCCTCCTTGAAATCCATTCTTCCCTGGGGTTGCACTGACACCTCAGTGGCCATTCCCAGTCTCTTGTTTCAGGATTCTCTTCTGTTATCTCTTAAATATCAGTATTTCTCAGGGTTCTGTCCTAGGCTCTTCTCTCTCTACAGTCATGCATCGCTTACCAAAGGGGAGACATTCTGAGAAATGTGTCATTAGGTGACTTTGTCATTGTGCGAACATCATAATGTACTTACACAAACCTAGATGGTACAGCCTACTTCACAGTAGGCTATATGGTATAGCCTATTGCTCCTAGGCTACAAACCTGCACAGCACGTTACTGTACTGAATACTGTAAGCAACTGAAACACAATGGTAAGTATCTGTGTATCTAAACATATCTAAACATAGAAAAGGTACAGTAAAAGTATGGCATAAAATACAAAAAGTGGTACACCTGTATAGAGCACTTACCATGAATGGGGCTTGGAGGACTGGAAATTGCTCTGGGTGAGTCACTGAGTGAGTGATGAGTGAATGTGCAGGCCTACGACATTACTGTAAACTACTAAAGATTTTATAAACACTGGACATTTAGTATATATTAAATTTTTTAAAAAATATTTCTTCAATAATAAATTAACCTTAGCTTTTTTAATATACTTTTTAATTTTTAACTTTTTGACTCTTTTGTCATAACACAACTTAAAACACAAACACATTGTACAGCTGTACAAAAATATTTTTTTCTTATATCCTTAGTTCATAAGCCTTCTTCTATTTTTAAAATATTTTGTATTTTTACCTTTTAAACTTTTTTGTTAAAAACTAAGACACACACACGAGCCTAGTCCTACGCAGCGTTAGAATCATCAATATCACTGTCTTCTACCTCCTCTTCTTATCCCACTGGAAGGTCTTCAGGACAAAAACATGCGGGGAGCTCTCATCTCCTATGGTCACAATGCTTTCTTCTGGAATACCTCCTGAAGGACCTGCCTGAAGCTCTTCTTAAGGAGGCATCACTCTTTTCAGAAACATGTCCATGGTGGTTTGGTTTCTTTTTTCATCATAGATTTGCTTGAAGCACACAGTACACCATGAACACTCCTCTCTATTAATGAACACCTTTCAGTATCGGGGTCTATGCTTTCAAAACTTTTTGAGGAGCTTGTTGAGGTCTGCAAAAGCTTCTGCTAAACCCTTCACTGTGAGTTTTCTTGGGGGTTCCTTTTCTTCTCTTGAAGCTCCCTTTTCTTTTGCCTCTTCTTCAGCTATACATTCCTGTTCCAGTTCCAAGAACCCCTCATTAGTCAGTTCCTCAGGAATCACCTCTAGGGGCTCCTCAGTGTCAGCCTCATCCACACCCAGGATAAAGTCGTCTCCCATCTCAACCACAGCCTTGTTGATTTTTGCAACCTCCTCATCCTTGGAAAATCCTTTGAAGGCATGGACGAACTTGTGTGCCTTCTTCCAGATGCCATTCATACACTCCTTGGTGACATGACCCTAAGCCCAAGCAAGGTTCTCGATGAAGCTGTAGATGTTGTAATCCTTCCAGAACTGCATCAGTGTCTTCTCAGTGTCTTCCTCAGTTGCAGCAATAGCCTGGGCAAAGGTCCTCCTCAGGCAGTAGGCCTTAAAAGCTGCTACAACTCCTTGATCCATTGGTTGGATCAAAGAGGTGGTGTTTGGAAGGACAAACACTACTTTGATACCGGGATGAAAATCACCAATAAGAGGAGGCTGTCGGGCAGGATTATGAGCAATGAGCAAAATTTTAAAAGGTATGTTATTCTCCAAACAATACTTCTCCATTTTCCTGGCAGAGCAATTTAGGAGGACATCTTGGAAGAGGAGCTGGGTCATCCATGCCTCCTTATTGCTCCTGTAGTACACTGACAGTGTGTGCTTATTGACATGCTTGACGGTCCTGGGGTTCTCACTGTGCCAGATCACAAAGGGCTAATTGGTAGCCTGCAACACTGCCCCAAAAGCAACACTATTATCCTGTCCTTAAAAGCTGTGAAACCTGGCATTGACTTAGCCTCCTTCCAGAATAGGGAGGTTTCATCCACATTGAGTATTTATTCTAGAAAGTAACTTTCCTCCACAATCAGCTTATCTAGAGTTTCCAAAAATTCTTCAGTTGCTTTCCCATCAGCACTCACAGATTCACCACTCATTTTCACATTATGTAATAAATAACAATTCTTGAATTGTTTAAACCACCCCAGAGTTAGCAGTAAACTCAAGATCATAGTCAGGTCCAACCTTTTCTTTCAACATGGCAAACAAACGTTCTCCTTTGGCCATGACCATCATGGTGCTGAGAAGGATACACTTTTGTGTCTGGTCTTCAATCCAGGTCATCTGAAATCTCTCCATGTCTGATACATGCCCTTCTTGAATTTTTGTTAGTCTCCTCGTCTTCAATGAAGTAGATCCTTTAACAGTTTCCATCACTTTGTTCTTGTCCTTCAAGATTGTGGCTATGGGGGAACGGGACATGCCTGACTGGCAAGAAATAACCATCACTGATCTTCCACCTGTAGTCTTTAATCACTTTTAAGTTTGTTTCCAGGTCAATTACTCAACATGGCCTCTTACTGGCAACATTAGCAGTGGATTTTGTATGCTTAGGGGCCATGATGAACAAAACATGAGATTAAATCAAGCACAAGAGAATGATGGAATCAAGACATGGTCAACACAAAATGTATGAGGCCGCTGTCGGCATAACAAGGCATACTGTTTTACTTTGTTTTAAGTATAAAGAGTACACTCTAAAACAAAAATAAAAATTATAGTAAATATATAAAACAGTAACAGTCATGGGGCCGGCCCGGTGGCACAGCGGTTAAGTTCGCATGTTCCGCTTCTCGGCGGCGCGGGGTTCGCTGGTTCGGATCCCAGGTGCGGACATGACACCGCTTGGCACGCCATGCTGTGGTAGGCATCCCACATTATAAAGTAGAGGAAGATGGGCACGGATGTTAGCTCAGGGCCAGGCTTCCTCAGCAAAAATAGGAGGAATGGCAGTAGTTAGCTCAGGGCTAATCTTCCTCAAAAAATAAAAAAATAAAAAATAAAACAGTAATAGTCATTATCAAGTATTATGTACTGTACATAATACACTTTTATGCAACTGGCAGTGCAGGTCTGTTTAAACGAGCATTACCACAAACATGAGTAATGCATTGCGCTACGACCTTACAACAGCTACATCATCACTAGGCAATAGGAATTTTTCAGTTCCAATTATAACCTTATGAGACCACGATCATATCTGCAGTCCGTCATTGACCAAAACGCCATTATGCAGCACATGACTGTTCTATCTTCCAAAACCATTAGAATCAACTGGGACTCTTTTAAAAATGCCCAGGCCCTACAGATTTCACTGTTTTGGAGTGGAGCCCAGACATCCTTGTGTTTTAAAAAACTTCCTGGCTAATTCTAGTATACAGCTAGGATGGAGCAGCACTACTCTAGATAGTCTTATTTTAATCCTATCTACTCTCATCATTTTATCATTTACATAATAACAAGACTCCAATCTATAACAGATTCATTCAGTCAATATTCATTGAGTACTTGACACTGTTCTAGGCCCTGGGGTAGAACAGTGAACAAGAGACAAGGTTCCCTACTCTCCTAGAGTTTATATTCTTTTTTTTTTTTTTGTAAGATTGGCACCTGAGTTAACAAGTGGTTGCCAATCTTTTTTTTTTTCCCCTTTTTCTCCCCAAATCCCTCAAGTACATAGTTGTATATTTTAGTTGTGGGTCCTTCTAGTTGTGGTATGTGGGACGCCACCTCAACGTCGCCTAATAAGCAGTGTCATGTCCGTGCCCAGGATCCGAACTGGCAAAACCCTGGGCCGCCGAAGCGGAGCATGTGAACTTAACCACTCGGCCACGGGGCCGGCCCTAGAGTTTATATTCTAATGGAGGAAAGAGAAATTAACAACCACAAAAAGATCATTTCAAACAGTGATAAGTACTGTGATGACATTTTAAGGGGTGATGTGAGAATGACTGAGGAGAAGCATTATTTTACACAGGAAGTCCAGGGAAGACCTAGAAGGGCGAGAGGGTGGAATTTAACCCAACACTGTAGCAAAAACAAGTCAACAATGTGAATATTTGAGCGAAGAGAGTCCTAGACAAACCATATGCAAAGATACAGAAGCAGAAGCATATTTGGTATCATCAAGAATTGTGAGTTGGGCCAGCCCGGTGGCACAGTGGTTAAGTGCACACGTTCTGCTTTGGCAGCCTGGGGTTTGCCGGTTCGGATCCCAGGTGTGGACCTACACACCACTTGTCAAGCCATGCTGTGGCAGGAGTCCAACATACAAAGTAGAGGAAGATGGGCAAGGGTGTTAGCTCAGGGCCAGTCTTCCTCAGCAAAAAAGAGGAGTATTGGGGACAGATGTTAGCTCAGGGCTATAATCTTCCTCAAAAAAAAAGATTTATGACCAACATGGTTAAAGCAAAGAAAGTATGGATAAATGTTACAGCATGAAGTTGGAGACACAGAGGCCAGATCATATGCAGCTTTGAAAGCCAGGGTAAGGACTTTATGGCCTACATGTAAAGGAAAGCTATTGAAAGGATTTTAAAGAGGTATAACATATAGTCTGATTTATATCTTACAGTATCGTTTGGCTGCTGTGTGAAATTTAGAGGGGCAAGATTGTGTAGGGAGACCTATTAATGGGCTACTGCAATTCTCCAGAAGAGAAATGATTGTGGCTTGTACCAGGACTGTAATCAAGAATATAAAGATAGCTTCAGGATATTTTGGAGGTAGAATTAAGAAGAATTGCAGGTACATGATGAATGAAAGAGAAATCAGGTGTAAATTCTAAGTTTTTGATCTGATCTGACCTGGGTGTATGATGAAGACACTTACTGAAATGAGGAAGACTAGAAGAGAGAAACTGACTTGGACGGGGAGATCAAAATTTCTGTTCAGGGGCCAGCCCCATGGCCAAGTGGTTAAGTTCGTGCACTCTGCTTCGGCAGCCCAGGGTTTCGCCCGTTCCTGGGCGCGAACCTGGCACTGCTCGTCAGGCCGTGCTGAGGCGGTGTTCCACATGCCACAACTAGAGGGACACACAACTAAAAATACACTGTACCAAGAGGCTTTGGGGAGAAAAAGGAAAAATTTTTTAAAATAAAAAAAATAAAAACTTCTGTTCAGTCATGGTGGAATCACCAAAAAAAAG